AAATATTTCCACTAACAGATACAGAACATTAAATCCTTCCCAAAGTTGTCGCTGATCATATCGTATAAAGTTGTACTTTTATTTTCACAGATAACCTGTCCAGACCATAGAAACTATAGACTAAATTATTGTAACCAATTTTTTATAGAACACCAAACGTTAATGGATGTTTGCCAAGTCACTTTAATCAGTGAGTTCATATTCGTTTAAAGTTAAATTCTAAATAAACAAAATAATGTATCAACATTTTTTCTTAGTTTTATTGACCTTATTTTTTTTTACATAATTCGAATAGAATGAGTATTTCACAAATTGTACATATTGATACATTTAGAAAAAAAAAGATGAATAGAGTAGGTAAACTATTTCATTTTCAAATAGTAATGTGTTCGAATCTCGCGAGGCGAGGTCGTGGATGCTCACTGCTTAGGAGTCCCACAATAGGACGAAACGGCCGTCTAGTGCTTCCAGGTTTTCCCTGGTGGTCTAGCTTCAATTGACTCACGCTTTCAACTATGAAAGTAATGTGATATATAGTTGTTTTTTATTATTAGATGATTAGTACATAACCTCATTTGTTATTTATTGTCAAATCAATTTATAATGCAATCTTTCCCAGCCTCCTATAGACATATATTTTCTATATAACTATATATATATACGAATGTACAGCTTAAGTAAATGATTTTGTCGAAAGGAAAATGTTCTTCGCTGAATTCTCTTTTTCTTATTCAATGACACTATGAGTTATTTTAATTATCTAGATGAGGAACCATTAAAATCTAAAAGTTAGTAAATAGTTAATGTATAGTATTATGATGCTTAAACTGTTAACTAGTAAATTATAGAAAAAACAGCTGTAAACAGAAATCTTAGATTAATTATTTTCATTCATCCTTACAATTTCGTATAACGCCCTATATCAGAATCAGAGTTTGTGTAATGAGATTTGAGGTATTTGAAGAAATTTTGTTTTTTTTTCTCCCATGAAATGGTACTAAAGAAATGATAAAATGTTTATCGATACCTTTGTAACTATAAAAAGATAAATTTTAGTTATGCTTATATTCACGTAATTTTTCGAAAATCTGATAACAGTCAACAGTTATAATATCAGTTCAGTGAATTACTTTAGGTCCTCATTTTAAATCTGTTTTCATTCTGCATTATACTGCAACTATCTACTTTTAAATGTTTAGATATCACAGATAGATGAATTATCAGAATAATGATTGACTAAGATCTGACATTAAAACTAACTGAGATCTCTGTACAGCTTAGAAAGTATAAAACTTTATTGTGAGGGCTACAAGTGATCTCTGACTCTTTGAAAGAAACTATATAATCCATTCATCCATCAGTATTCCCTAGGCCTTATTCCAAGACATCACTACCAAATGAAGTGACTATTATAAAAGATCAAGCACGGGAGATGATCGGAAAGGGTGTTTCCAACATGCCCAACGAAAAGTCGTATTTAAATCATCGGCGTGATAGTTCGACAAATTAAGGAAGTAAGTACGTGGTATGTGCCGCTGACGTCGATAGATAAAAGTACCGTGTGTCATCAGTCAAAAGTGAAATGCCTGGTGGCAGAAGGTTAATAAGATCGAAGAAAAGAGAACGAGAACAGAGAATGATTACTGTGGAAATAAAGGGACAGTGAAATCTCAGACGATTGATTGCCATTTTTCAGATGTATGGTTCTCATATTTTACTAAAATTTTGTGTTCAAATACATCCGATTGTCGCCATTTGTGTTCTCGTTCACTACAAGTATACAAAATACTGTCGATCACTCACTATCCACACAAACAAATTAAAATGTACATTTGTTAACAATTCGAAAATCGGTTCAGGAGCACACACAACAAAACTAGTACAACGTTATTTTCAACATTGAAACGAAGAAAAATTTCTCACTGATTACTGATGCATTGACGTATTGTCATATACCATGTCTTCCTGTTACCTAATAATTCAAATATAAGCCTGAGTAACCGAACAAAGTGAATCAAATCCTGTTTTTCATAACGATTTTATTAATACCAGTTTTGTTCCCAAAAGTATTTGAATCTTAAACGTAAAATACAATGAAAATAAAATACTAAATTACTTTTTACCCCAAAGATAAAATGGTCATAATTGTTAGCTGATGAGTAATATTAATACTGATATAAATATTCATCTCTTTTTTTGTTTAATTGTTTAAAGATCCCAATCATATTAAAAGACTAATATTTGAACGAAGAATATTCTTTTCGATAAATTCTCTCTTCAGGTTCTACAATTATATATCCAAATTAATAATCCGAAAAAATGGTCAGGTTAAAGGCAAAGTACATTGTTTAATGCATGTAAATTTAGGAATGTCAAATCAAATAGAATAATTGTCTCTTTTATCTTTGTTCACAAATCTTTGTATTATTATTAAAGTCACTTAGTAATACTTGTTTGAATCTTCCTATTGATGTTTAGGACTGCAACTTGTCAGTCTCTTTTTGGCATATGTGCATACTGTGCGTATTGCCTCGATATAGCCTTATTTCACAAAGATTGTAAGCAAAGATGGATAGTGGCTAGCAGTGGAATCCAGGACGAGTCCCAAATAGGACGAAACGCGCTTCCTGGGATCCATTGCTAGCCGCTATCCATCTTTGCTTACAATTATTATTATTGGTTAAACATAATAAATAATCTCCCCTATACACGATTCATTCACTTCGCATTGATCCCTCCTTATAATGTCTTACTAATTTTTCACACAATTTAGTCTTCCACCTGATCGAATTGTAATTGCACTATCATATCTTTCTCACCCTATCTGACCCATATTTATTCCGATCACGAGCTTAAATTTTCACTTAACATATATACAGATTCAAGTTAGCATTCTATATGAGAGTCATATCAACATTAACAATTTTATTCTATTTGATTTGACATTCCTAAATTTACATGCTTTAAACGATGTGCTTTGCCTTTAACTTGGCCATTTTTTCGGATTATTAATTTGGATATATAATTGTAGAACCTGAAGAGAGAATTTATCGAAAAGAATATTCTTCGTTCAAATATTAGTCTTTTGTTTAATTATTGATATCACAACACCTTAATATATATTGTATTTATTCAAATGCATCAAACTATACAATTTAGATAAATCAACTTTTATATCTATTTCATAACCAAAGTTAATCTGTAATATTCATCAATTTCTTGAACTATGCAGAATCTTTAGTATTTTAGTGCATTCAAAAAGTATACTAAATGAATTATTGATTATAAATGTTATTATAACACGAAGTTCAGCGAAGGGATCTCTTTTCAACGAATTTATTATCAAGCTGTACAATCGTATATACATGAAAATGTTTTGTCGTTTAACAACAGCCATTAAAAGGACATTTAATGCTGCTAAACTGCGAATAACCTTCACTAGTAAGAACTTATTTTATGTATCCATAAAAGATAAGCTTCCGCGTTCGGTCGCCTCTATGTGCATCTACCAGTTCATCTGCTCTTGTGGAGCAAGGTAGATCGGCCATAGCTAGCGCTCGCTTTCAACTTGGATACGAGAATATATCCCAGTTTGGTTCTACAAGGGTGAAAAGAAAGCAGTTAGGAGTTCTATACTTGAACACCTAACCGACTGTAATCATTCTACGGATCCACAGTCTGATTTTAATGTTTTTTATATGATTCATTCAAATTTACCTAGATTTCTTCATATCAAACTCCTAAAAAAATAGCCGAAGCTCTTACCATCCACGAGCTCAAACCAGAACTATGCGTACAAAAGAAGTACGTCTTATCATTATCGTTACCATGGCCTTAATAATATTATTATTACTGCATTCTCCTTTACTTATGTTGTATATTCTCATTATTTTATTCATGAATACTCATCAGATCATCTTATTTATTTTTACACCTCGATGACCTTTAATTATTGTAACCAAAACATTTAATTCATTTTAATCATCTCAGTATATTCACTAAATCTATTGTTACTACTCGTATTACGTAATCTGGTATTATAATCTTGGTTATTCGTGTTAACATTTCCTCACGGAATTAGTACTTGAACGAAACATTTTCACATATGTATACGATTGTACAGCTTGATAATAAATTCGTTGAAAACAGATCCCTTCGGTGAACTTCATGTTTTTAATTTTAATGTTTAAATGGGAATTATATGCCAATTGTAGAAATGTTATTTTCGATTTTAAAATAACGCAGTCATTTAAGACTACTCTCAGTTCATTATTTTATAATATGCCATCAGCTTTTCACATGATCGCATCTGAATAATAATATTCAGGCTTAATCTTAACTTTTTTTCGCGATAAGTTTTGATGTTAAACACTGATGAAGGTAGAACATGGGTAGAGACTGAACAATTGCCTATGAGGTCAAGTGAATAAATTTAACTGATGTAAGTGTATAGAATATTATTTTTTTTTACTTAGCTTAATGACAAAAGTAAGTTTTTGGTCAGAGAGGGTTTTGTGGAGAATTTAGTATTTTCACAGTTGAAATCATGAGTTGATTGAAAAACCTGGAAGCACTGGACGGCCGTTTTGTCCTATTATGGAACTCCTCAGCAGTGCGCATCCACGATCCCGCACTCGCGAGATTCGAACCCAGGACCTACTAGTCTCGAGCAAGAGCCCTTAACCGACAGACCACTGAGACGGCATCCAACGGTGTTAATGTCTAACTTCAACCAATCCACGATTTAGAGCCACCGTTCACCAATTGTCTTCAGTGAGTTGATATCTCTACAACAGACTTGGTAGAACTCGTGGATTGGTTGAAGTTAGACATTAACACCGTTGGATGCCGGCTCAGTGGTCTATCGGTTAAGGGCTCTTGCTCGAGACTGGTAGGTCCTGGGTTTGAATCTCGCGAGTGCGGGATCGTGGATGCGCACTGCTGAGGAGTCCCATAATAGAACGAAACGGCCGTCCAGTGCTTCCAGGTTTTTCCTGGTGGTCTAGCTTCAATCAACTCATGATTTCAACTGTGAAAAAGTAAGTTTTGTTTGATCATGAACCTATCATCTTCATATTTTTTCTTTTTTCAACCATTGATTATCTTGTACAGGAAAAATAACGATTTCACACAAATTGTAATCATACATGGGAAATTACCAAACAAAATGTGAACTAACTAAAAGGGCGCTGTATCACATACTATCTTCCTGTTTGATAATATTTGCGAGTCTCACATTTATTATTTTACAGACAGTATTTTCGTACTGTATTCCTGTAGGATCAGATATGGCTTGGCCTTCAGTTCTAATTCCATTTGGTTATATTCCTGCAGGTCTATTATTTCTGACAGCTGGTGCAACTTTAGCCGCTGGATTAACAAATTCAGAACTCTGGCAAGCAACCAGTGTTGTGTGCTGTATACTTCCACTGATAACCACTATTGCTATAGCATGCACTACATTACAACAATATGTACATACTTTTCCAAAAAATTCAAGTATTTTGATTATGGGAGTGATTAGTTGTTTGACTACACTTTTGTGTTTCATTCATGCTATTCTAATATGCGTTAGTCAATATTTTTATCCTTCACCATAACCAATTATTAGACAATGCGAATTTCACACATCATTTAATGATTGAGTTTCAAATGTTTTCATTACTTACAAGATTTTAAAATCAAATTCATGATATGGCATTTTTAAAAGCATTATTATGAATTAACATTATATAGCCATTAGGAAGAAGTAAGATTTGTTACAAAGACTAAAGATGATAAAGCATCAGTTTTTATAAATAGTGGATGACCGTTTCGTCTTATTATGGGACTCCTCAGCAGTGCGCATCCACGATCTCGCCTTGCGAGATTCAAACCCAGGATCTACCAGTCTCGCACCAGAGCACTCAACCGATAGACCACTGAGCCTGTACTATATCCTTATATACAATCTTTCTTTTATATATTAACACCACTAAATTAACTACTTCTATGAATTTGGTGTTCATCTTGTTGTGCTAACGAGGTATGGCAACTTGGACCGATGCATAAATGTTGCTGATCCTACGTTGCAGCTGACTGACTGACTTTTATAAATAGTAGTTGTACGTACACATATGCTATTTATGTTGATGGTATCACAAGTCGTATACAAATTACATGAAGGTTTGCCAATACTACGTTGATTATGTAAATTAGTATTAGTGTATCAGTTTAAATTTCACAAGAACCATAAACATTGATTAGTTCCTAAATGTATATCATTTATAAGTTTCCTTCTAAATGTCACCAACTATAACATCATTAAACTAAATACTTCGCAGTGCTGACTCACATGTCCTAATGATTATATGGCATTTTCTCGACAGAAGTGGATAATTACCTGGCATCCTATAAATTCTAGAACTTTACTGTATGCTTAGGATATAACAGATTAAAATTTATGAATCTTCATTTTTATTAACAGTTAGTTAATAAAAGGATACTTATTCAGATATTTAAAAAATCACACCGCACTTTCTAGTTATAGTGTTAGTAATGCTAGCAGTTAACTTTTTAATAAAAGCATGATCAGTTACGCAAACAATTAAAATCATGATCAATACACTTAGTAATTATACATGTTCACATTATTAATGTAATTAAAAGCGACTGGAAAGTACTAGTTAATACTCAAAGCAAAGATTAGTTGTAAACGTAATAAAAGTTAACTTCTTTTTTACAAACCACTCAACGATAAAAGCATATATGTTCCTGATATTAATATTCAAAACCATTCAGATAGCCAAGTATAAATATCTATTTATTGAAAAGTCACTGCGTAGCTTTCATTTGAATCTGAATAGTTTCTATCTAACAAACTAAAAAATAGTGGTTAAAACACTATTCAATCGAATATGGAAACTATGTTTAGAGAGAATATTGAGTGGGAACTAACTATAGTTCAAAATTGTTTACGAGATAGTGTTTATCTGCAACAATTTATCAATAAGTATGTGAAAACAACAAATAAGGGAACGAAATTCTCTAGGGTTGAGAAAAATTCAGTTGTTTTACGACTTAACTTCAAAGGCGATGAAATAGTTAGAGTGAGTAATTCTAGACTAAGTGCTATATTCAAGAGGATGTGTCCGGTTGCTAAACTAGTTTCGTCACAACAAACGAATTGATTATTCAGACAAACAAAAGTGGGGGAATTCCCATCTTGTTACTTTAAACTGTATTTACCAGTCCACATGTTCGTCCCAAAGCACTTACATTGGAAGAATGGGAAGGACGGTTCATATTCTCCTGGGGGAGCACATTCTGCAAAAAAGGTCTACATATTTTGTAATTGTCCGTCATCTGCTTGATAGCGGATACTATGTTGATATTTTAAAATCATTCGAGACAAAAAAATACTTAAACAATATCTCATTTATCACTTTACAGCAAGGTTGTCGTTTGTAAAGTTGAGACTAAAACCGTGTACAAAAGGATACAGCTGTAAATCTCTTCCAATCCCGGTAACTTGTTTTTCAATATTCATTTATGTAATATCATATTCTCAATAACAAATTCTTTTATTACATTTATGGGTCTTCTATGAGCTTTACTCTGTTAATCTATCCAATTTATGATTGTTACGTAATTTCTGTACTCTGGAAATGTGTCTCCATGTGTTTTAAAATTTTTCTTCTAGGGCTTTCTCCTTAGTAACATATAAATATTGATTCACTTCTGTCATAAGTGTTATTTTTATCCTACCAATCTCCAGTAATATGATATAAAATATGTACATTGGTTATAAATAATTATTACTATTGTGTCCAGGTTGTAAGCAGCCAACGATAACCATCCAGCTCATAGAATAAAACTCCATCAAAACGATAACTTATGTAATAAATAAATTCACCTTATTCTACCGCGCATGTTTTTCTTGCTTTAGTCGAATTTCTCAATGGGAAAAACTATATGAACTGCGAGAAATAAGTCATTACTGAATAAATATAAAATCAAAATGAAACTACCAACTGAGATTCTATTCATCCTCATGCTTAGTTCATTTACCGTGTTTTTTTTGGTAGACTTAACAATTTTTTTGAACAACTGAAAGGCATGCCCACCTTGTTTATTCAACTTCAAGATAGTTAAAGAATGATTGGGAATCCTTCCGAAGAGGTGATACATGTAGTATGTATTTAAATCAACAACAAAAAATTTGTATCGACTTACTTCCTAATTTTACATTTAATATCACATATTCACAATGTTTTCCAGTATTCTTTGTTCTGTTAATTAAAATTGAATGGATTAAGCAATAGTCATTTCGAGTATCCCATCAATTGTTCTACCAGAACACCGTTGATTGTTAATAATAACCACTTAAAGAGTATTCGTTTTATTGTGTATTCTTTTAGTCAAACATAATTTTGGAGTAATGAAATATTAGTAATATTGAAGAGTTGAAAATTGAATGTTTTTTTTAAACTTAATATAAGAGAAGAATTCCTATTACATTTCGAATCTTATAGACTTGTTTGAAACAGTACAGAAATGATATTTTTGTCAATCCATTTATGAACACTTTTTAAATGACAACATAAAAATGAAAACTTTTGTCGTATTTCCTTTTCATGTTTAAATGTTTTCTATACACATATTAGACATATTGATGTGGTGGAGAAGATTTGTAGCTCAGGTGGGTGATTTGGAGGTAGGTTTGTTTTCTGAGCTGGATGGTTTGGTCTTGGAGCTTTCATCGTCCTTCTGAACGACATCATCAACACAAACTTCGGGTAGAAGTAAAGTATTTGAATTTCTCCACATGTGATATACAGCTTGTCCTGTGCATCTCGATGTTGCAACCAAAACAAAGAAATAAACAATGACAGATTTAAGGTCAATAAGAACCAATCAACACCGGGGTGCACAGGAAAAGCTATGAATCACATATGAAGAAATTCAAACACTTCACTTCTACCCAAAGTTTGTGTTGATGATGTCGTTCAGACGGACGATGAAAGCTCCACGACCAAACCATCCAGCTCAGAGAACAAACCCACATCAAAATATTAGACATATATCGGAAGTAGATAACATTGAAGAATGACAATGTACATCTACTGTTTAAATATGTTTGACAATGATCGATTTTGAAAGGCTAATCTGTTGTAAATTTAAGTAAGGATTTAAGATTATCAAAAAGTATCAGTGTACACAATATCACATCTTAGACTAATTACAACATTTAATAAGACTAAGAAACAATTTAACTGTTATTTCTAAAGAATCAAATAACGAAAATGACCCTTACTAAGAAAGCACACTACAGAAAAAACTAAATACCGTATGTATTAATTTCATCAGTTTTCCTCGTCTCTCACGAACACATGTTCATTTTGAATAAGGAAAAAATTATAATACTTTTTTAATTAATTGATCGTTTATTTGCCTTATTTGATTCATCTTAACATCCTTTATCTTATAAAAGTGTAACGGGAGATAGGATGAATTACCCTGTAAACAATTCAGCAATTAAATAAGTTTACTGAAATTTTATAGAATCCATTAAATTTCTTTTATATATTTAAATATTTTGATACACGCATAGAAAAGTCATAAATAAGATTTTAGATTGATGTTGATATTGTGCGTTATGTATCAAATGAACGTGTACTGTGTGTTGGTTAGTGTATACATTCGACACAAAAAAAGAGACCAAAATAAAACCATCATACATTAATTTAATTGTTACTGAATAAATCAAATGCCAAATATTTTTGCTCTCAGTTTTAGAAAAAAAAAGAATCAATGATCAGACTTGTGACTTAAATTTGTAATAATATTCAGTATGACTTCTTACGTCACAGTATTTATTAGGGATATTTTAATATAGAATGAAATCATTAGAATATCTGTTTTTGATACTAAACAGAGGTAAATATACATAACATTAGACATGTCGTAGGTTTTAATCCAGCTCTCCTTGTTATTGTTTGGGTAGTATTTTAGTGGCTTGAGATTTGAATCCAGATAAATCTTGTGGTTGTTATCAGCTTATACATACTGCTAAACATTGTTTAAAATTATTGACTTAACTCGCGTTAGTGAATGACGGGATTAAATAAGTCAAATACGAGAATAGATTACCAATACATATATGTCATACAGTCTTTGATCCAGACAAACGATCGGAGATACGAAGCGGAGAAAGCGAAGAGAAGAGAGTGAGACAAAATGACACGCAATGGAGAAGGCGTGTGAGCCAATTAGGTTTTACCAATCCCGACTCAATATTTATAATCAGACAGAAATAAGTTCCAGACATGTGATGATTAAGATAGGAAATGCACACACCAACGTCTACATAAAAACGATCAAGGTTGATAAGCGAATAAGTGACAGGGTAGAAATGTGGTTTCAGAAGGATGAATAGACTAGTCGGTTCAAAGGCTAGAATGACGTATGTGGGTTTGATATAGTACTAGCCCTTACAATATGTCTAACCTCCAAACAAAATTAATTGCTTAAAACCAATTACATGAACCTACATTTAATAAACGATTAGTATGCACGTTAACTTCTGATGCTATCGTGCAAATCATTACATTCGATTTGT